GGGTATTTGTGGTCTTTTGTGGTTTCATATTCATTTTAGGATTTTCTTCTATTTCTGTGAAGAATGTCACTGGTATTTTGATAGGAATTGCATTACATCTGTAGGTGGCTGTGGGTAGTATGAACATTTTAATGATATTAATTCTTCCAATCCATGAACATGGGTTATCTTTTCATTTATTTGTGTCCTTTTCAATTTCTTTCTTAGAAGTTTTATAGTTTTCATTGAGAGGTCTTTCACCTTCTTGGTTAAATTTATTCCTAGGTATCTTACTTATTTATTTATTTATTTATTTATTTATTTATTTATTTATTTATTTATTTATTTATTTATTTATTTATTTATTTATTTATTTATTTATTTATTTATTTATTTATTTATTTATTTATTTATTTATTTATTTATTTATTTATTTATTTATTTATTTATTTATTTATTTATTTATTTATTTATTTATTTATTTATTTATTTATTTATTTATTTATTTATTTATTTATTTATTTATTTATTTATTTATTTATTTATTTATTTATTTATTTATTTATTTATTGTTATTATAAAAGAAATTGTTTCCTTAATTGTTTTTCCAGATAGTTCACTGTTAGTATATAGAAATGCTACTGACTGTTATGTGTTGATTTTGTATCCTACATCTCTACTTAATTTTTTTTATTAGTTCTAACAGTTTTTAGGTGGAGTCTTTAGGGTTTTTCTTTTTTTGTATGTTAGATCTTGTCATCCTTTTAATGTGCTGTTGAATTTGATTTGCTAGTATTTTGTTGAGGAATTTTGCATTTATGTTCAACAAGGTTATTGGCCTGTAATTTTCTTTTCTTGTAGCCCTCTTTTCTAGCTTTGGTATCAGGGTAATGCTGGCCTTGTATAATGAGTTTGGAAGTATTCTCTTCTGTTTAATTTTTAGAAGAGTTTGCAAAGGATTGGTATTAGTGCTTTGTGAAGTGTTTGGTAGAATCCAGCAGTGAAGCCATCAGACCCTGAACTTTTCCTTCCTGGAGACTTTTTATTACTGATTCAGTCTCCTTACTCATTATTGGTCTGTTCAGATTTTATATCTTTTCTTAATTCAGTCTTTGTATGCTGTATGTTTCTAGGAATTTATCCATTTCTTCCAGATTTTCCAATTTGTTGACATATACTTGTTCATAGTAGTCTCTCATGATCCTTTGTATTTCAGTATTATCAGTTGCAATGTCTCCTCTTTCATTTCTGATTTTATTTATTTGAGTCTTCTATCTTTCTTTTTTAGTTTAGTTAAAGGTTTGTCAATTTTGTTCATTTTTTCAAAAGACCAACTCTTAGTTTTGTTGATTTTCCCTACTGTTTTTCTAGTCTCTATTTCATTTATTTCCCTCTGATCTTTATTATGTCCTTCCTTGTACTAACTGTGGGCTTAATTTGTTCTTTTTTCTCCTAGCTCCTTGAGGTACGTTTGAGATTTTTCTATTTTTGGATGTAGGCACTTACTACTTCCCTCTTAGAATTGCTTCTGTTGAATTCCTTAAGTTTTGATATGTTGTGTTTCCATTTTCATTTGTCTCAAAATTTAACTTCCCCTTTAATTTCTTCTTTGATCCTTCAGTTGTTTGGGAGCATTTGTTTAATTTACACATTCTTGTGAATTTTCAGAAATTCCTCCTGTTATTAATTTTTTTTTTTCCTTTTTGTCTCTTTTTTCGTGTCCAGCAACGGATCGCAACCCTCAGTGTCGCGCCCGTACTGGACCGGGGACCGGCAACGGGATCGCAAACCTCGGTGCTGCGCCCACACCCCGCTCAGCCAGTGAGCGGGAACCGGTCTATATGTGGGATCCGAACCCTCGGCGGGAGCGCCGCCGTGCCCCCAAGCGGCACAATGTAGCAGTGCGCCACTGGGCCGGCCCCTGTTATTAATTTTTAATTTCATAACATTGTGGTCAGAAAAGATACCTGAATAATATCAACCTTCTTAAATTTGTTAAGACTTGTTTTGTATCCCAACATAAGATCTATCCTTGAGATTGTTCCAAGTGCACTCTAGAAGAACATGTATTCTTCTGGTAGTTTTATAGAATGTTCTGTACATGTCTGTTAGGTTCATTTGGTATACAGTGTAGTTCTAATCCAGTGTTTCCTTGCTGGGATTCTGTTTGGATGATCTGTCCGTTGTTGAAAGTTCCCTATTATTGCATTGCAGTTGGTCATTACATTCAGTTTTATTAATATTTGCTTTGTATTGAAAAACTTTGAAAAACCATTATACAAATATAAGACATTATTATTTGTATCTATACCAATTATTTTGAGACTTGTTTTTAAGGTTCCATATGATTATTTTATCATTTCCTGAGTACAGGTTCTCTCTTCCCATGGGAATTAGCTATTAGAGAAGGAAATATCTTTTTTTTTCTTTGTGCAACTTACGCTGCCATGAATGTAGTACAGCCAACTAAAATATGATTTTCCTTTCTATTATGTATTTATCAAATTATCTTTCAATATTCAATGTTTTATTTGACTTGGTGGCAGGAATGGAACTTTCGTATCTAATTGCTTCAAATATGGTCTGTCATCAAGTGTATAAACCCCAAAGCTGATAACCCCTAAAGATAATAATGTAATTTAAACTATTAAAAAGATGCGATCAGTGTATATGAGTGTAATTTGTATTAATATAAATACAGACCTTGCTATTTAGCCTCTTCCTTTCATAAGCCATTATAAATTATGTTCTTTAAGAACTGGTTTTAACATGATAACCCCCTTTACATCAGACTATGTTGGATCCTGATGGAAGTTACTCAGAAGAAATGGGTTTCAGATCTGGAATTTCCACATAATGGCTATGTACCCTTGGCATGTTTCTTAGCCTTCTGAAATTGGCTTTTCTCATGTATAACATAGATATGTCACTTCACTGGGTTGTGGAAATGAGGTAATTGTGAATGAGAGAATCTGAGTACCTGTTTTGGTGCCCAGGACAAGTTTAGTTCTCAATAACTGCTTTCTTGAGTCTGAATTTTCTGAAATTATTTTATGTTTTTGATGGAGAAAAAATTTACTCTCACTTCATATAAGCAAACTTTTTTGCTTGTAGTACAATATACACAATTGTGGCATTTCAAAGTCCACTGTCTGTATTTTCTCTGTGACTATAATGCTCTCTCACACTGAAATGTGTTTTAATTTCCCTCACTAAACAACTTGAGTACCATCATCATAAAACCTGCCCAGGATCCCCTACCCCAGAACTTATGGGAAACTGAATTCATATATATGTATATTTGTCTATTGGTGTTCTATTTGTATATTTTCACTTGGACTTTCTTCCTCACTAATTCCCTTCTTTCTCATTTCATATTTTGAATTTGGCCAGGTACAAGAAAGTGCTGGGCTCTTAAATTCTTTGCCATGTCTATTCTAGTGTCCTGTGTATACAGAGAAATTACACATGTCATTGGATGCCTTTGAAATTGAAACCATGTTTTGATTATGTCTTACCAAGCTCAGCACACTTTGGGTGATCAATGAATATTATCTAACAATGGGGAATTGTATCTTTTCATGAAGTGTGAGACTCTGAGGTAATGGCTACAATCTGGGCATTTGGGAGAAAGTCTTTCTACAGGGCTTGGGAGCTTTTAGGGAAGTTTGGAAGACAAGTGAGATTGAAAATGTGTTTAGAAGGAGACTTAAAAAAGACATTGAGAGGATCAGAAGTGGAGGCTGTCAAGTGATCTGTCTGAATGAATGAAGCAGAAAGGGTTGGATCCTTCTGTGATAGGGTGTATTTGTTCTGTATTACAGATCAAAGAGCTGTTTTATCAGAGATGCAGCCTTATTGTTTAATATCATTTTTATTAAAATGGAGTTAGTCTTATGTTTGGAGAGGATATTCCCTTTATTTCTCTGGGAAGAAAGCAAATATATAGCCATTAGAAGACGTGTTCCCATTCTTGTTGAACTTCCTCTTTCAACTTTTTCTCCCTCAACGTAATTAGAATTGATGCTTCCACTGCATTTCCAAAGCCTGAAGATTCTGCTTTCATACAGTAGCTTGCTTAAATAACAATAACAAAATTTTAATTATCTCCTTTTTATAAAAGTAGTAAATTTTTCTATAAACCAACAAAAGAATACAGAATAAAAAAGAAAACTATAAGTCTTCTAAAATTTCATCACATGGACCCATGTTAACATTTTAATCTATATAGAACCAACTAGGCAAATTTCTGGAATGAAGGAATTGGAAAGGCCATGGATGTTGTGGTGCCCAGCAGAGCTAGCTATGACAGAAAATGAAGTCAGAGACTCTGAGTTGATCCTGAACTTGACATAGGAAGGATTGCAAACCCTTGTATAATTGTTTTAAAAAGAAGATCATGGTATACAAATTGTTTTGTGACTTGCTATTTCTATTTATTATCTTGTGAGCATCATTTCGTGTGATTAAATAGTCTTCTAAAGAATTTTTAGTATACCTGAGTTGAGTATTCTGTTGTTTATTCCATAATATTTTAAACCAATTCCCTTTGTTGAATGTTTAGGTGATATTGATCTTTGAAAATTGTAAACTATGCAGAGATGACGATCCCTGTAGATAAACCCATGTTCACAACCATGATTATTTCCCAATACGCATATTTAAAAGATTTTTTTTTTGGATATATATAGCCCTGCCCAGCTGTGATCCAAAAAGGGAATCACAAATTTATATGCCCACCAGCTATGTATGAGAGTGTGTATTTTTCCATACATTTGTCCAGGACATAGATGCTTTTCCTCTATAAGTATCAGTAGCTTGATTTCATTATCATGCACACACATATACACATACTTATGTGTTTGCATATATGTGTGATTGTATATCTATAACTATTCTTACTTACAGAATATACTTTATCTTATGAACATGTTAATCTGCCATATCAAATGTATTTGCAAGCATATACTTCTGATATGTCCACTCCTAAATGTAACTGTCTTCACTTCCCAGGTGCCTGCATGAACATCACCCACAGCCAATGTCAGATGCTGCCCTACCATGCCACACTAACACCTCTCGCCTCAATTATCAAAAACATGGACATGGAGAAGTTCCTCAAGTTCTTCATGTACCTCCATCGCCTCAGTTGCTATCAACACATCATGTTATTTGGCTGTAGCATTGCCTTCCCTGAGTGCATCATGGATGGTGATGACAGGTATCTGGGAACTGAAATAATTCAGTGATAAAAGCTGGTTATAGCAGAAGTGTCTGAGAAGAACAAAATCATTCCAAGCTCCCACCTTTTGTTTTTGTTGTTATTAAAGGAGAAAAAGAACCCATATCAGTCATAGCCAGTTGTCATTCTTTGAAACTAGAACTGTTTTGAAAACCTGGAATAACTTCATGTATGGGAAGAAATTATTCGGTATGTTAGATTGATGCTATGAGCAGGAGACTCAATAGCTGTTGCAGTAAGTGTCTGGCAGAAGGCAGACAGCACACTCAAAGCGGTGATAGAAAGAGACTATTTATGGAGGTGTGGTCAGGGTTAAGGGAACAAATAAGTGACGAGAGGCACCAGGGTCTCGCCATAGGGGATGCAGTTCCACTGCCCAAGGCCTGAAGGCAAAAAAGGCCAGAAAGCCTGGAGACAGTTGTAGCTGTGGGCGAGGGGTCTCTGAGAGACCAGCTGCTATGACCCTAGGCAGAGGGGCACAGCCACTGCCAGACCTTCTATACTTCAGGGGAAGAGACAAAGGAATAAATACCCTGACCTACTCTCCTCCCGCTTTCCTACCAACTGAACTCACCCACGACCAGAGGACAAGGGCAGTTAATGTGAGCGTAATGAATGAGATCCAAAATTTCATCTAAGTATCATCAGCTCAAAAGTCCCAAATCCTACTATCTAAATCAAATATGGGTGATGTTCTGGATGTTTCTTCTGCTCAACACTGGAACCCAGAGCAGTGCAAGGAGGGTGAAGAGTAGATGGGGAGGGACAGGGACTATCCAGCACAATATCAAGTAGGATTAGAAATAATTTAAATAAGAATAGATCAATCAAAACTATGTCATGGAACACTTGAAATACTAAGTATACTTTAAAAAAATTTCAAAGCACGTGTAAATACATATTCACATTTAAGATCAATTATTTTCTGAATTAAAATGTCAGGAAGTTTTCAGAACAGTAATGTTAGAATGAATTACATTTTCAAGGGCAAATTGGTTCCATGTTATTGCACTAATTTTTTTTTTCCTTTTTGTCTTTTTTCGTGACCGGCAACGGGATCGCAACCCTCGGTGTCGCTCCCACACCGCGCTCAACCAGTGAGCTGACCGGTCTCTATATGGGATCCGAACCCTGGACGGGAGCACTGCCGCGCTCCCAAGCGCCACACTCTACCGAGTGCACCACCGGGCCGACCCTGCACTAATTTAATTAATGTGTAAAATATGCCTGGAATAAGGCAAAAACATTTATTATTTTAATTGGAAAAAGCCATAGCTTCGAAGTAAAATTTAGTAGATTCTGAACTATAGAAGTAAAGAACTATCAGCAGATACAGCATTCGAGAAAATGTTTTACAATAAAAAAATTGGTTGCAGAGGGTGCTTTCATGGTATAAAGAGAGAAAAGCTTTGTTAGTTCTTTCTCATGAGTTAAAATATGGGATGGTAGTAAAGAGGCTCTTTTTGTTCCTAGACAATTGCAGTATAATATAGAGTTTGTATTAGTTCCTAGGGCTGCCCTAACAGACTGCTACAAGCTGGGTGCCTTAAACAACAGAAGTTTATGTTCTCACAGTTCTGGAGAATGGAAGTCCAAGGTCTGGCGGGGCCACACTCTCTCTCAGGACTCCGAGGGAGAATTTGTTTTCTTCCTTTGCCAGCTTCTGGTGGTTTCAAGTGTTTCTTGACTTGTGGCCACATCACATCAGTCTCTGCCTCTGTCTTCATATGGCTTCCTCCCCAGTGTGTCTGTGTCATCTTCTCTTCTATCTCTTACATGGACACTTGTCATTGGATGTAGGGCCCACCCAGACAATCCAGGATAATACCTTCATCTCAAGATCCTTAATTATATCCTAAAAAAAAAAAAAAAAAAAAAAATCCTTTTTTCAAATAAGGTAACATTCACAGGTTCCAGGATTTAGACCCTGGTCATAGCTTTTTTGGGGCCACCATTCAACACATTAGGCCATGGAGCCACATGCTGCAGATCCCCTCCTCTTAAATGGATTTAATAGTTATACTTTATGAAGTTAACGTGATGAAATGAGGTGGTGATGGTTCTCCTAACTTTGCTACTGACAGCTTTATTCCAAAAAGGTCACTGAATCATCCTCTGAATGTGTTAGATTCATTTATTTATTCAACAGATATTTATGGAGTGCTGACTGTGCACAGTAGGAATACAATTGAGAATAAAATAGATAAGAATCCTCGGCCTTATGGAGCTTATATTACACTGCTGGGAGATAGGCAATAAACAGATAGATAGATAATAAATAAATAAATGATAGTGTGTCAGATAGTAATAAGTGCAATGAAAAAAATAAATAAAGCAGAGGACTGGAGAGCTTTGGGAGGGTGTGGGTATGGTGGCAAGAGGTACAATTTTAAGCAGCTAGTAGTTCAGGAAAACCTGAGAAGGTTACATCTGATCCATGAGGTTATGGGAATCCAGGAGGTGAGGGAAAGCCAAATGTCCTGAGCATCCTGTGGTAACTGATAGAAATGGGGTAAAAGGCCATGATGGGATCAGTCCTGCAAGAAGACATTGTTGCTGAGGATGTGCATTGTGTCCCTTAGGCAAGGGTGGGGGTGGAGGGTCTTGCCAGGAACATGTGGAGTTTGGAAACTCCCTCTTAGCTCCTGATATCAGTTCAACAAAGATATTTGGAAAATTACCAATTTATTTATTCTAGCAAACACTTATTGGCATCTACAATGTGCCGGTCACATTGTTTGATGCTGGGGATGTGGAGATGAATAAAACACAGTACTGCCTTCAAGGAACCAAGCATAATAGGAGACTAGAGATGAAAACAATTAAATTGCTGTATCATGTGATCAGTTGACAAGATGTGGGGTAAAACAGAGGAGGAGGGATTCATTCCATCTGGTATTATTAGGGAAAGCTAATGGCAAGGAGGAGGTAACAGCTGAATTGAGTTTTGGATGAAGCGAAGTTTGCCATGTGGACAAGGTGGATGAAAAAGGCGCTTCAGGTAGAGTAACAAATAGTCTAAACCTATCATATATTAGAGGAACTGCAACCAGCTTAATTTTACTAGAACATAAAATGGGGAGAGAGAGGAAGAAATGACTTTGAAGGATTTTTAGGTAGTAAAATTGGCAGTATCTAGTGATTAATTGCATATGAATAGCATAGCCGAGGGTGAGGCAAAGTTTTTTGGGCTTGGGGACCTGGGTAGATGGTATCACCACCAAGAAAATAATATATATCAAAGGAGGATAATGAGTTAATATTGGTAATGAGTAGTGCATGACAGTAATTTTTTATTCTGGTTCCAGTAGTGCATGACGTAATTTTCCTTTGAGAGGAAATAGAAACAGCTTTCCTTCTGCTGTTGATGACAGTAGGAGATGACATGATTTATACTGTCATCCAGGGCTGTGCTGGTAAAGTGGATCCTTGGAAAAAAACCCAACAAACATCAAAACCAATATTTGTAGCATTTGCGGATTTCCATTCTTCTACCAAATTTCAAGCTAATAACAGTTTAACTACCTATTCACATGCCACTGCATTTCATCCCTTGGCTAGTATTTACTGAGCTCTCAGTTGGTGTGAGGCATTCAGCAATGTGCCAGTTATTTCTCATTTACTTCTCCATATCTACTTTCCACCCTCGTCTGTCCCAACTCTTCATCCGAGGTTGGTTTCAACAATGGCTACCTCCTAGTATTTTGTTGGGCTCAGCGAGTGGAAGCAGGAGAGGCAGGTTGGGTAGTGATCCCTGGTTTCTCCTCTGCCAGGTTATGTGGGTTAGCTGCATCCCACTATGAGAGGCCATGACTCCTCGCAGGCAGCCTTTCCCATATGGCTCTCTCCAAGTTCCAGAAATGCTCCTTTTCCTCATCCCATAAACCTATAGTGCTAACAGCTCCCTGCCTTAGCCTACCACACTAGCCCTTGTTGGTTTTTCTGAACCCCGCCTGTACCTTTGTAAATAGCATTTCATTAAACGCTCTTCAGTGATCCTCCTTTAGTGGGTCTTCTCTTTTCTGCTGCAACCATGACTGTTACAAATGAAGAAGACAGACACCATCCTGGTTTTTAAAGCTTTTCAGACCAATATGACCTAAAAATACCCTGACTTCTCCTATTATTTATCTTCTCAAGTGAGACAATCACAAATATAAACATTCACTTGTGCAGTTTTCCATCCCTATGTTGAGTGGAGGTAGGAACTAAGGAGGGCTCTTTCCTGCCTTTCTCATACCCCAGCTAAGCCTAACCTCTTATATAGTCTCTTGAGGTCACCAGAATTATGCTGACATAGGAAGCTGATGCTGTTGGCGCATCATAGAGAGAACAAACTATCTGTATTTTTTTTTCTTTTTCCAGCAGTGTTGATGAATTAATGCTCCTGTGTTACCTATGGCTCATGTTTGTGAGAAGAGGCCACCTAGGTGAGACATTTTGGAGCACTGAGCTAGAGTCACAGTATTTGGCTATGAGAGCTCCTCTTTACCTTTCAGTTTCCTCGCAATGTGAAAGGAAAGGATGGGAGTAGATAATCTTGCAAGACTCTTCCAGCATAAACATTCTCTTCGTGACTAAGTAAGGTCTGTAGCTCTGGGGACTGCCTGTGACTATGACTTTGTGAGCATTGTTCACTGAGCAGCTCAGACCAACAAAATGAATTTAGAAGTGTATTTTTAGAAAAATAACTATGTGAGTCTCATCAATGAATAGTACATCTAACTCAGTAGTATGCCTCTGATGTGATGTGTCAAAGAAAGGTATATTAATTATCTATTGCTGCATAACAAATACCATAATCTTAGCAGCTTAAAACAACATGCACCTATTATCTCAGTTTCTGTGGGTCAGAAATTTGGGAATGGCTTATGTGGGTTCTCTGCTTGAGGGCCTGTCATATGGATGAAATCAAGTTGGCCAAGGCTGGGATCTTATCTGAAGGCTTGACTGGGGAAGGATCCACTTCCAAGCTCATA